ATCCGATTCGGATGCAATTTTTCAATAATCGAGTCAGATTTGGATTTTACTAAAACTGATCCTGATCCAATTAGAGCCCTATGGCCAATACATGTTTGATGCATTTACTTAATTTTTAAGTTTTAAAATATTAAAATTTTCTGCCTTAAGTTTTAATTTCAGTATGAATTCCTATAACTTGGCCTGTTGATGACCAATTTAAAGCCTTAACTAACCTATTAATTAAAAATTGCCCAATTGCCATATTGAAATATGTATAAAAACCCTGTGAGGTTATAAAAGGATGACCTTATGTTATTGTTAATGTCTCTTATGTGACAAGAAAGGGTACCACTAAACCATGCCACAAGAATTTGGTTGCTTTTAAATTTTAGCTTTACAAGTCTCTTTTTTTTCTTTGAAATTTTCCCTTGTAAGTATTATATATTATATGAATTAAAAATTAAAAAGGAATAAAATAATTAATTCATCATTAAAATTAGTATTTTTTAATATTAATGTATTTATCGTTACTTTTCTACTGCTGCTGCATCAAGCATATTCCAATGGTTCAACCATTAAAAACATGTGTTTCTTATGTGAAAAATCTATGTTGGAAAGATATGATACCAGAACAGCATTGAACAATCAAAACCCTAAACCCCCTGTGAATTTTGGTAAGAAACATGATTTTTTTTATACTGCTTGATTAAGTTTTCCCGTTATCTTAGTCAGATCCTTATATATTTTCATATTACTTTATAATAATTTCAACTTCATATTACCTTTCAGTAGTCTTTGCCTAATAGCTACCCATACTTTGAAGTTTGAAGTTGCTTCAAATATATGCAACGAGGAGTGCACAATGCATCTGTCCAAATCCAGCCCTGACTCACTTGATTTAGTTCATCGGAACATTGGGATTGGTCTGCAGTCTGGAGTATACTAACCTACGACTGGAGGGGAAAGATGACACATCACGTTGAAAGCTACTTTGCGTAAACATCCCGTTTCTATTGTTCGATTAATATGTTATACGTTTCTTTGTCACGGACGACGTGGCAAACAAATCGACACGAGCGTCGAGCGACTTAGGCAAATCCCATTCTTCCTACATAACCACCAAAAGTCCAAAAAAATGCATTTAGAAGATGAAAAACAACCCACGTTGCTTTCTTTGTCATTTAAGTGGAAATTTTCCCAAATCACTCGCTGAAACTGAAAAAAAAAAAGAAAAAAAAAGGAAAATCTATGATGTGGGAAAGATATGGTATCGAAAGAGTTTTGATAAATAACACATGATTGGCTATCACGTTTATGATACCAGTTGATTGGTTAAAAAATTTTCAGATATCACATCTTTTCTATATCATAGTCGAGTAGATAATAAAAGAGAACCAAAAACTCTTATAGCTTACATTCCTGTGGGACTTCCTTGCAATGCTATGATAATGTTAGGGCTAAACAATGAAATCAATGCGTTTGATATATTGCTATGACCCTACTTGTATTAAATGAAGTAACATCTTGGTGGAGTCACAACAATGCATTTAAGGTCATGATCGCCAGTTTTAACTGCACTATTACATTCTCAAAAGTGAAATTGTTTGGGAAGGGCTTCCACGCCGATGGGTGTAGGCTTTGAATCACAGCCCTTAGATGTATTGATGTGGGCTCCCCTTAAATTGAATTTAAAATGGGCTTCAATCCAAAATACATGCATGATGCGGAGACCGTACGTGATTTCAGGTTTTAGTCCAATGCCGTTTGGGAGGGCTTTTAGGATGCGGATTCTGGTGTTTTGAAGTGAGCCCTGCACTGAACGCCAAATCACTGTTCAACACAATGCGTGTTCAGATGAGATGGAGACAAGATTGTATACACTGGGCCCATTTGGGCTCCATCTTTTCTTAACACCGACGTGTTTACTCATGATAGATAGCCCAGCCGTGTTTGTACAATCTTGTCTCCGGTTAATCCGGGCCAAATGATCCGGTGCTTATAATGCTTATTTTAAAAGATAGGTGTCAAAAAGATTTCTAAGTGCTCATTAAACTGTAATGCTGTGCCAATTTGATCTGGACTGCTAAGAAAATTAGCTTTATTGGAAAACAAACCAGCTTGAGGATTTACACGAAAAAAAAAAACAGCTTCTGTAACATATAAGCATCTCTTCATGAATGATAACATATATAAGTATGGAATATTCCCGATGCACGGTTTCTGTCTTATGTGATGAGTACGAGGAGCACGCTGCAGGAAGCAAATCCAAATTACAATAAAGGCTCAATTTTGAAAAGAGTACAAATATAAATATGATATTACAAATATACAAAATAATACAAAATACAACATTTTATACTCTATTATTTATATTTGTACTCCTTCCAAGCTGAGAAAAGGATGGAAGAGAGCAGCAAGGAAGAGGTGCAAATGGCTTACGGATTTACTTGACTAATGTTGGGACGGCTGGTCTGGGTGTATATTCTACTATCCCTCCAATTCACGGGTGGGGATTAATGCATAGAATGAGGGCATTTGACATTTTGAATGTTTATAGATCTGTGATGAAATTCAAAAATTTGCATTGAATCTACGGTACTTTTCCTTAAATAAAACAGCTTAGCCCACCGCCAGGGTACAAAAGGATGTGCAGAGGTCTGCCACTGCCACCATGCTTGAACCATGCTTGAACGTGATGCGCTTACTGCTCTGTCGGCCAATAATATCTGAATATCTCTGATCGATGATGCTGTCACTTATTAGATGTTCAAGGTGCTTCGTTGTTGCTGGAGATCATATGGTGAGCGAGTAATCTCCTTCGATGATGAACTGAACTCGATCGTCTTGGTTGCTCATGCTTTTGCAACTGAAATAGCTATTGCTTGCTGAGACCAGTTTTGTTTAATTTACCTTACCAAAGCAGTCTCTAGCAATTAATTTCAATATCTACCCTCTCCAACCTGTTATTGAATATGGATTGATGCATTTTCCTGATACTCTCCACCATTGAGTTTTCAAGTCTCATTTATACATGGTTTTCAGAGCTTTCACTTTCTACTTTGTAGGCTTTACTTGTGGGGGCTACATATTTAGGGGCCATTTGGCAAGCTTTTTAGGGAATATTTTCTAATAGTTCGGATAGTTAAAAGACATTGAGCTTTTGCATTAAGATCTGACTATCTGAGCAGCCTGGAGCCATTTTGATTAAGGCGTGTTTTTGCACGTCTTTTCACACAAAAACAAATAAAAAAAAACATAAAAACTCCATTTGGAGCTTCCCGAAAATCATACGATTTGGGTTTCTCGCATCTTTTTGGCACATCGGCTAGATCTATCACAAATCAAACGGAAAAAGACCGAATCATGGTCTGTCAGGCTTATAAATAGCCGGCATACCATGCAAAAAGACACGACAAACAAGACCTTAATTATTGATGTAAAAAGTACATATATTTTATTTTCATTTGGTGTAAAAGGCAATGTTTAGAGAATCGGAGAAGGGAGAGGTTCACGGGTCAAAGGTTCAACCAGGGGCGAATTGTGATGATGTGGCATATACATATATATACTATGGATCATATAAATACTACATATAATATATTTTACACCTTTTAATGTACTTAAATATGGTGGATATGATAAGCTTCTTAATTTTTAAAACAAACGACTAGGGTTCAAGCCTTCTAACTTACATTTTCTTTAAAAGATGTGCATAATAATATAATATATATAATAAATAGTCTGGCAATTTTATGAAACCATGACCAGTTTCGATTGAACTAGCCGGCTAATTAGTTCTCGGTGGGTTTTAAGCAAGTCTGGTTATTGGAGTATGACCGAACTAGTCAAAGCCTTGAGTCACAGTTCAACTGATTCAACTGGTCAATCTGATCCGATTTTCTAAACACCGGTAAAAAGTAGGGGTTTTTATTGTTTAGTCTACCTCAAAAATCTTAACCCCATTGTACAGGTGAGATGAATTGTGAATTAATGCCTAAAAAGTATACATATAGGGGGCTATTAGTAGACTAGGAACAGATTTATAAGATAGAGTGAAGTAGGTATTTAATTTTTTGGTAGAGATATTTTTTAGGGATAAATAAACTTCAATCCACCTCATAAATCTAAAATTACATCCCTTCCTAATCTACGTTGATTTGGTATCTCAGGATTCTTCCCACTTATACTGTGGGGCTCAGATTTCTGGGGTAGATTAACTATAAAAATCCTATTTTTTATTGAATCAATATATAGGGCCACTCTATGAGTTTGTGACAAACTGACAACGACCAGAGGTGAAAAAGCAAACCGAATCGGATCGGATTCCCTTGGTGGAACCCATTATCTGCATGGCGTTCCTTTTGGAGAATAGATTTTTCACGAATTACGTGGACGAGATAGTCAGATAGCTCGCGAGAGAGAGAAAGAGAGTCATACTAGGAAACGAAAACGAGCTCCTGCTTTGTTAACAAAGGTAATGAAAATGCAGCAGCAACAGACTCATCCTCAATTAACGGTAGTTTGGATTTTGGAATTGATGTGTTTTGGACGCAGTTTTGACTTTTGAGAAGACAAAGGTTAAGTTAAGATTATCCTTCTCCACGCTACGTTTCGTATTCGTTGAATTGGAAACAGAAAGAACGTTTAAACTTTAGCTGAATTTTGGGAGAGATTTTCGGGTGATTAATAAGATGGAGTTGGCAGTGGCACTCGGTATGGTACTTTGGTATAGAAATTTTAGAAATTGGTTTTTGTAGAGATTTCTAGAATTTTAGAAATTTTAGAAACAGATTTCTGTATTGAGTGTACGCGTACTTCTCCGAATTTTTTAAGAGAGATGCTTGGACCCACGGTCTACGTGGCATAAATCTTTTTTTTTTTTTTTCTGAACATAGATAGATGTCCAGAAAGACCAGGAGACGGAGAACAGAGGAAGCCGTGCGTCTTCTGAGGTTTATTATACTGTCTCTGCAGTTGTTGTGGATTGATTTTTCATATCTCACTCGAAGGTAAGAAACAGCATCTTGATTTTCTTTTTCTTAACTTACACGGTTTGGGTTAAGTTGTGCAGTACAAGCTAGATTCAGATCTGAAATCGTTTGGTGGAGACTTCCTTTTGGATTTCGAGGCGTTTTCAATTATTTTACTTTACTTGAATTTGAAGGATTCATCATCTCGTTTTTTTATTTTCTAGTTGGCGCCGGTTGGTAGTAAAGTGATCTAATTTTTCCATGGTTTCCATCTCCTTATATATAACTCTTGATACCGAGTGTTTTCTTAGGGTTTCAGTGATCGGGAAGAGAAGAGGAAACTAGTGGTTTCTCCTCCTTCTTTATTCTTCTGAAGTCATCAATCAGGTTCGTCGTTCTGATCTTAAGATTGTGAACTTGATTTCTTGTTATTATCACGAAAGAGAGAAGTTGAAATTTTTATGTTTTTGAATCTGGTCGCGGGAAACGTATTCGAGTATTGGGTTTGATTTGAAATATTTATTGTTTAGTTTAGTTGGTCTCATGGATAGAAGGTTGATCCGTTTTGATTTGTAAATATGAGTCTTAGTCTCTACCCGTTCCACCCGGACAAGGTTTGCTAGCTAGATCTTGCAGTCTTATTTTATGTAGATACTCTTTGTGTATTGCTTTCGGTTAACTATATTTCCTTCCTAAAGATGACATAATTATACTTTGCAGTTTAATGGTTATGTTGGGAAACTTTAACAGGTAACAAATATCTGCTAGGCAATGGCTAATTCTTCCAATGGAGAGCATACTGTGACAAAGCCCCCTCCAAACCCATCTCCATTGAGAAATTCCAAATTCTTTCAGGTAAATTGCATTTGGAGATTTCTGAGGGCTCATTCCAGGTGGAAATCCCTCCATTTAATTGGTTTATATCTTTTCTTATATTTGTGGCATTTTCTCTGTATATTACCTGTTACTTTTCCATGCGTGCAGCATTAAAAACTGGTTTCACTTTCTTACCATATCTTAGTTACCAGTTGATGAGGAGAAATCTGAAGCAGTTTTTTTAATAAACTATTATTTTAACTTCCACAGCCTTATATAGAACCATGAGGTTGTGACTACTAGATTGTTGAACTAATGGAATTAAATATTCCTAGTTATTCAACATCTTTATGAATTAGTTGGGACTAACCTCATGACATGCTTTTTGGCATCTAAAATGCCTTTCGGAGCCAATAGAAAGTTTCCATGTCATGTTCTACGATTCTGCCAAACATATAATATAGTTTGCAAACATAAGAATCTCCATATTACCATATGAAACCCCTTAAAAAAAAAAGAAAAGAAAAACAGAAAGAACCTGACTTGATCTGACTATGATGTGGCCAATGCTGACAGTGACAGTCATCAGATAGGGGACCTTTGAATTTGTCAAATGTTAATTTCCCTATTGCAATTCAGGTGCCACCCATGTATTGGAACTTTTATCATGATAATATAACATCGTCCATTGTAAGTTTCAAAAGTTTAGTAAAAGAAAGATCCAGAAAAGGGCTTTGTTTTACCACATATCATGCCCCATGAACAGACTGGAGAGGGGAACATGTGGAACTTATTTTCATGCTATGATTTCTATGTATAAGATTCCCTGGTTAAATGAGTCTCCAGTATAATCAAGGTTTAGAATGTTGGTGTTGGTGAAAATATTGGTCAAATATGTCAGAAAAGTCTGAAATATCAGATGGAGATATTTTTCAGAATTATAGACATGATGGAAACATACTAAGGTTTGTGAACAAAATAATATGTTTCAATGGTATCCTATAAACTTTAAGAGTCAAAACCACATGATAGAGTGAGTTCAAGCAAAATTTAAACTCATAGTAAGTGCAAATTATTCTAACAGATCAACTAAATAATCTATTGCACAAACAAAAACTTATATTTAACTTCATGTTTGAAAAGAATTTCAAGATGACTCAAAGTGCTAATCATGTTCATTAGACAAGCAACAATACTGCTACTCGACATTTCTACAATATTGCTACCAACTTATATTATAATATCATCTATTGTGCTCAATATAATGTTGGTAGTTTTCACTAAGGAATATTAAGTTCTAATAGAAGTTCTTGTCAGTATCCATGGAAATGGAAATATGTTGTAGAAATATTAGGAAATGTGTGTACATGTTAAACCATGAGTATAATTGTTTGGAAGCTTCTGATGTTTGTGGATATACCTTAAGGCTCAAGCTTCATTTTTAAAATTTTTAGCACATTATAATTGCCCTTTTTTGTTCTTCATTGGAGATAGGTATCTTCCATGTGCAATTATTTTATTCTTTTCATTGCTTTTGTTATTGTTGTTGATATTAAACAGCTAACTATGTGAATGCAGTCCAATATGAGAATCTTGGTTACTGGAGGAGCTGGATTCATTGGTTCTCACCTGGTGGACAAATTAATGGAAAATGAAAAAAATGAGGTATACATATTTTCTCTCTTCCCTACTGGCAGGCCCATGATGTTGCTCCATAACCACTGTGTCTAATTTCTGGAGCAAGGTTGTTGCCCTTGTTCCATAAAGAACACCTGACTTAATAAGTAGTGTGCAACTATTTGAGTGTTGATTCTAAATCAGTGATAGTTAAAAATATTGCCCTTTCATTTAGATAGTTATACATCTCTGCTCCTGTCTTACATTTCCAGCCCTAAGCCCAGATAAAGGAGGTTTATTTCAAGTTAGCAGCTGGCATTAAAAAAAAGCCTTTAGCCAATCCAATATGAACATGACTCCTGAATTTTTTTGCGCAATACCAGGTGATAGTGGCTGATAACTAGGAATATTTAAGGCTGAGTTGAGTAGAGTTAAAATTGAGTATATGTCTGCTCTTGTCTTTGTTGCACAGGTGATAGTTGCTGATAACTACTTCACTGGGTCAAAGGACAACCTGAGGAAGTGGATTGGTCATCCAAGATTTGAGCTTATTCGTCATGGTACTTCTCTTCTTTACTTTGATCTAGTTTTAAGTCCATCTCATAAGGATGCATGGATTCATGTTGAGGCATCCATGCAAGGTGACCTAAGGATGCATAGGTGATGCCTTGACAAATGTGCACAGAATGGTCTGGATCTTATAACTTCTACTTCCAAAAAGATAAAATGGAACCCCTGCCTGCCCTCTGTATATGTGGGGTACTTCCCTGTTTTATATCTTATATATTGCTTCTATTTCAAGGATTTAGGGAGATGATGTTACAGTTTGATAGATAACTTAAATATTTTTTACTTGCTTGTTATGCAGATGTCACAGAGCCATTATTGATTGAAGTTGATCAGATATACCATCTGGCTTGCCCAGCTTCCCCAATTTTTTACAAATACAATCCTGTAAAGGTGTGTATTTCATTTTTTTCTTACAGATATGAAATATTTCAGTGAGGCGTGCAGCAAACCACACATCTTTATTCATTCTTGTTCCTTGCTTCAGTCAGAGAAGAGTTCCTTTTCTAATCATTGGCCCCTGGTTCAGTTTGCATGGTTGCTTTTTTACCAATAGAAACAAGTATATAAAAAAAAGAGTAAAAGAAGAAACTAAGAAACAATAAAAAGGGTATACCAGGAGTGCATAGATAAAGACCCAAAAGCCCTCCCATCAAATAAAATTGAAATGAGAACGAGATCTCTCTTTGATATCTCACAGAAATGATAATGAGAACAGTGACTGATGGTAGTCTGAGTGATGCCTAGAAGTACAAGCAATAATGTATTCAATAAATTAAAATAACAGTGTGCATAATCACATATCCATGACAAAGAAGTCATTGGGTAAAGCATTTTTGGTATACAAAGAAGTCAGTTGTTTATTGAGCTCCAGATAAGATATGCATGTCAATATTACCAATTGTAACATTATCATTGTATGAGTTCCTTTATGCAAGTCACTAGGTGACTGAATTCATCTTTGGCATTGGACAATTGGTATCCTTGGTAGTAGGTGCCTAAAACTGCATAGGTATTGCGGCCTTTGATACTCAGGTACTTGTACAAGAATTCCACATCATGACAGATATTTCAAGCATCCAGGAAACATAGGTTTTGGTTGGCATTATCCTAGTCTTTTTCCTTCCATGCCACAAATAGGAAGAGGCATCTACAGTTTGAGTGGCCCTGAAAATGGCAGCAAATATACTATTTTGGATAGAAGTGGATCTCACCTATCCATGCCCAACTTGTTTAACTTTCATTCCAGTGTAGAATATGGTATATAAATAAATTGGAGACTATTATTCTTACTTTATATTTCACAATTTCTGAAAAAATTATTGTCATTTTGAAGCTCTTGGTAATTTTGTGGCTCTACTTCTAAAGATTAGACTTCAAAATTTGTTTTAATTGGTGTTTATATCATTCTTCAACAGACAATAAAAACAAATGTAATTGGGACACTGAACATGTTGGGACTTGCTAAACGAGTTGGAGCAAGGTGATGTTACTACTTGTCATTCACTTTGATTTGTGCTATTGTAGTGATGCATGTTTTTACTCTTGGTATTACAATCTTCCAACAGGATTTTGCTGACCTCAACGTCGGAGGTGTATGGAGATCCCCTTGTGCATCCTCAGACTGAGTCATACTGGGGCAATGTTAACCCAATTGGTATATTCACCTCTTATTTCTATAAAGTAATACCTTAATTGCTAAAGTACATAGATGTAATTGTGATAATTCTTCCAAGGTTATTATTTTTTTAATTATTGTGTTAGATAATATAACAATGAAATCTGTATAGCCCTAGAGGAAAAGAATACTTGTAGGTATGCAACTCGGACAGAAAAAGATATTTCTCATTGTCAAATATTATTCTAATACGTATCTCAGGAGTCAGAAGTTGCTATGATGAGGGAAAGCGTGTGGCTGAGACTTTAATGTTTGATTATCACAGGCAACATGGAATAGGTAAATGTTGAGTTGGATTCTCCACTGGGGATATGACTTCTTAGAATGTACTTTTGTTTTTCTCTACAAAGTTCATGAGGCACTGGCTCATTTTCCATTGTTGGTGATTCTTGTAACAGAAATACGTATTGCTAGGATCTTCAATACCTATGGACCTCGAATGAATATTGATGATGGGCGTGTTGTCAGCAATTTCATAGCTCAAGCTCTTAGGTAGACTCAATTGGATCTCATGGTTTTTTCCATCATGTTTTGTCCTAGGACCAGAGAACAGTATATTGAGAGTTATAACTGAAATGATTATTGTTCTCTATGGATTACTAGATATATTATGCGATTCATATTTCTCTTATTTTTTGTTGTTCATCTTTTTGCTTCACATTCATGCAGAGATGAGCCCTTGACAGTTCAAGCACCTGGAACACAAACTAGGAGTTTCTGTTATGTCTCTGATATGGTATGAAATAGTTAGTTATTTCCCTTGCAGGATTTCTGTAGCATGAGATTCACCATTAAAAATGGGTGCTCATACTAGTCCTTTATCCCTCAATTTTATTTTATTTAATCTATTCATATATTGAAGGTGGATGGCCTTATTCGACTCATGGAAGGAGAGAACACTGGGCCAATCAACATTGGAAATCCAGGTTATTTAACAAACTGCTATTAAGCATACTCATATATATTAGTATTCATGGTTTGGGAAGTTATTTCTTTGGCATGAATAACATGGTTGCTTGTGCACTATAGGTGAATTTACAATGCTGGAACTTGCCGAGACAGTGAAGGAGGTTTGTATTATATATACTTATTTTTTTATGCAGAAATGACATTTTATGTTTCTTATTATGCTAGTTGATATGTTGATGCTTGTGAGCATATTCAAAACAACTTACATAAGTGAAAAGCATCACTATTTTCAAGTAATATAAGCTGTAATATCCCTCACAATACCACTAAAAACAGAAAATGTGACCCACTGTCTTTTAGTATCAGTCAACAATAAATCTGAAATCTTTTTATATATTCCCATTGTTTATCTTCAAACACCTTTCTGTTTCCTTCAAATGGTCCAACAAACAGCAAACGGTAAGCAACTCCACACCATCTTTGCTTTCTTGCTCCCCCTAAATGATGGCCACTTAGAGAAACTTTCAGCATAATCTAGTCACCTGCCACGCAAATGCTTCCTCCGCCTTCTGAACTAGATGATACTTTTTTGATCCCCTCAAGCCTTCCTACAAGAAATCTCTTTAGCCTTCCACCTATGGAGTTTTTTCTCCACTCTTTCAATGTTTGGCCTAACTAGTAATGTTCCTTGACCTGCTACACTTTGTTGCATGCATTGGTTCAAGAGCCAATACCTGTTGGGTCACAACTATAGGATCTGCCCTATGCCAAACTTCATCTGGTAGTTTAACATGAAGTACTACATGTGGCTTGCAGCTAATCAATCCTAACGTGAAGATAATAATGGTGGAGAACACACCAGATGATCCACGCCAGAGGAAGCCAGACATCACTAAGGCAACGGAGTTATTAGGATGGGAACCAAAGGTCAAATTGCGCGATGGCTTGCCCTTCATGGAAGAGGATTTCCGCCAGAGGCTTGGAGTGCAGAAAAAGAAGTGAGGAATTACGACACAAATTTGTGGGCAGCTGGTGGATTTTGCAGTCAAATAGATTTCAATTGAATCGTCAGAGATGCATGGGATCCGATTTTCTAAACTTTTTCCTTAGTACAATAAGATATTAAGATTTTTTAGTTTTTCAGACAAGTCATTTTTTTGCATCACAAAAGTGTAAAATTCACAGTTGGGCGGTGTGATTGGTCAAAGCACTTTCGGTATTCATCATAGATTTAACCCTTGCGACGATTCTCGGGTGCTGATATAAATTTCGGGTATATGAAGCTGCAATAGTTATCTGACGCGTTGTCATTGTTATTCTCATCACGACTCATGAACTTAAAGAATGATATACTTAGCATTGGGTTTAATCCAATAAGACCCGATTATAATTCATACCTATACTTTTAATATATAATATCTTCATATATATGAGCATATTATATTATATTATATTTATTAGGATAAATTATTAAAATCTCCTCTGAATTGTATAAAAAGTTCAGTCAAACTTTTAAGGGAGGTTTTCAGCAAATTACTCTATTTATTATACGACAGGCTTTGCCCACTGTCCACAGTCCACTGAACGTCTCAAGATGGGCCCCTTGCAAGATTCAAGATGTTAATGGTTGATGCTGCCCAAAGGATTTTCGTTGAAAACGCAATTACGAATTCAAGAAATGGGAAGAGATAGGTGGTTGGGGGGTGGCGTCCCTGTACTTACTTGGCAACTAAAGCCACGTGAATTAAGTTTTTTGAGAACTGATTTTATTTATACACCACCATTCATAAATCATGAAGATGAAGGTAGTCATAATTAAGTCTTTGACATGGGTGATGGGGAGTGGGGACACCACCACCTTGTTTCATTCCCTTTAAGAAGAAAACTCGAAGGATGCCCATCACTCCATCGGAACAGGGAATGTACACATGTATGTAGCTGTCTCTATAGGTATCAATGCATCATGATATGATATGATACTATTTCTAGAAAAGGATAGAGAATGATTAACTTACAAGAGTCCAGATAATTTAGCTGTACCACCTGGTTGTTTCTTCTTTGCCATGTATTAGGTTTTGAGAAAAACAAAGCAAAATGATTGAAAAAATATAACCCATTTCCGTAAAGAAAAAAATAAGATGGGAAATGTCCCACATCACAATATATCTTTGTCTAAGTATTTATCCAACCATTTCTATTAAATTCAAAGCATTAATATATAGGATTTTGTAAGACTATCCCTTCTGCTTTTATCCTTTGCTGACTCCAAAGTTCTCAGAAGCTGCCCACCACTCTGCAACCCATTCTGGCATGCCTTATATTGGACTCAGCTGCATAAAAGATTGAATTGTTAGAATTCATGAACATAATTCTTATAGCAGCTATATGCCTATTTAATAAAAGTACTTTCATAAGGGCATATTTTGAAAATTTAAAAGAAAATGAAAGACAAAATAGTCACAAATGCTTATTTAAGTACTTATTGGAGAAAAAGACTACCAAACGTGCCAAATGCAAATAAGTGTCTATTAGAATAAGCACTTATTTTTAACTTAAACACTCCTAAACATGGCCTTGGTTTGTTATGCTGTCTGGATTAATTCCAGTTTGCATGTGAAACATACTGCCCTAGCAAAAGGGTATTGAAAGAAAATGTTGTTTTGAGATTATATGATCTAATTGCAAAGTAAGCAACACTCATCCCTAGTTAAATTCTTTATTTTATCCTTTATGAGAACCCCTGCCTAATAGGTCTTCCACCGAAAAATCTGAAATGTATATGGGACTTTTGTTTTCCATATCTGATTCCAATTGATACCTGAAACCGAGCTGAAGGGAAAAGTCTAGTAAATGTTCTGTAGGCTGATTTTACAATATATACACATGATTTTTTCCTCCACAAAAAGTAATCCCACGTCACAGTATATCGTTCAAATGGTTGGAACCAAAATGAACATTGGTTGTTCAAAATGTGATGATCATCAAGAAATCCGGACCTCTTGTTTTCTTTCCTATCCACTTTGAGTCTGGATTTAGCTAGTAGGCACAGCATTCACAAGAATCTTTTTCAAGAGTAGCTGAGGGTGATACATTATACAATTAGAAATGTTTGTTGAAATAACAAGAAGGTTCTTATATCAGTATTAATACTAGAGGAGACCTCTGAGATGCATGGGCTGGTTTTAACAAGATGCCCTTATTACATTCAGTTCCCTAAGTGGTTGTGGGTGAACTAAAATAGCCCCATATTTGATTCCTTATTTTAAAAATTCAAAAAAAAAAAACACAAAATTCTAAAGTTGGAAAACAATGAGTCTGACGGTGGTCAATTGCATTTTAGAATATAGTGTAGATTTTAAGAATGCTATCCATATCCAAGAACTGTTGTTCCTCTTGTAAATTTCAAAAGCAAAACAAAATCAACTGGTTCCAAAACAAATTATAAAACATATTCTTGGTTTCCAATACTGAAATAAAAAACCATGTTCTTGAATTTTCAGCTTAAACAATACGTTTACATCTAGTTATTTAATATCAAATTCTATAAACAATATAATTTCTGTACTAGAGAAATTGTGGTTACTTTAAAAACTCATTTGATGATTTTAGAAACATATTTCTTTTAACAAAACCAACTTGATTTTGCTTTTCAAAATAAAATTACAATTCAACAACATTTTTTTGTTATTATACTAATGTGATATTTTTAAAAACAGCCGAAAACGAAAAAAACAATAATAGAACGTCCCCTTGATTTAGAATAGTGACAGGGAAAGTGCACCTGAGCATGTCTTCAATAATTAATGGGCATGTTTTTCTATAATTGGTTAGGTTGGGGCGTGGGGAATGGGGACCATGTCAAGCCCGGATCTCCTGTCCACGAGAATCCTATTCATTTTTATCGCAATCATATATGGAGAATATCTCATCCTTTGCATAATCTCAATTCACGGGATGTGATATATTGTGGGTAGACATGGGCAGGGTTCTTGTGAACAGACTAGCACTCCCTTGTTAACAAGTACAGTACCCAAGGGTCCCTCCCTCCATTGCCTGTCCTTCTCAGTTAGGAGTGAACTTTCCATACACYGGGCCTTTACTTGATAGGGCCTTGATAGGGAAGACTTTTTTGAGAACGTACTCCCACTTCTCTTTACTTTTTTTTGTATGCTCTCGCGCAACTCGTGCCTGAGTTTAAGTGAATCCAGTGCCTTCAGACGAGCCTCGTCTGCACCTTCTAGCTCTCGAAGACTAYACGAAGTGTAATCGTCCGCTACCAAGCAATGCTGCAAAGCCATCCGGAGTCATGCCGAGCCAGTACTACTATTACAACTTACAAAAGACTCCAACATGCTTTATATTTATCTGTTGCGCATTAATTTAGCAATTAGCAGACGCCAATGTGGAATTTTCTTTTGTACTTGGACTTCTTGTTCGTCGCTCGTCGGGGCATTTAGCAATTGTCCATGTTTGGAGGGTGCTTGCAATGCAACACTGAAATCTTCAATCCTGAAAATTCTCCTTTTTTTTGAGTTTAAATCAGTCCCCCACAACATTCTACAGCACATCCCCGCTATATATTCATAACATCTCTTGATGATGACATCATCATTTCTGGTATTATCATCAAGAGATATTCTCAATATGCAGTGGGGATGTGTTGTGGGATGTTGTGTGGATCAATCTTGTGGGGAGCTGATTTGATCTCTTTTCTTGTATGCCTAAAGATAAATTCGTTAAAAAATGCTCAAGTTATAAAGTAAAAAATTTAACAGCAACAAAAATTACAATCATGAAAGTATGCTAAATTTGCTGATACAAAAGCAGGTAACCCGGAGAAAAGCGATTTGAGAAACCTCTGCAAATAGCATAAATTCAAAAAATGCCAAAAAGGTTGACCAAAAGCCTCCAACAAAAATGAAGTCAGAAAGTGTCTCCCTACCATTTGGGTCCGGATCAACTTCGCATAACCCACAAAAGGGTATAGAGAAAATAGGTACCATGGCAAAACTCACATAAAACATAATAAACGTGAATGCAGGAGAGGCCCAAGATTGCCTCTTGTGAACATGCCCAACCTGCCCGAAATCCACATAATTCTCTCTAACTCTCCAAACATTCAAGGAATGGGCCCCATAAAAAGCCAAAAATCCACAAAACACATTATAAACTGTAGGGACATAAAATGTTCGATATGGAAACGCAAAACCCATCTTCGATATAGAATAATCCCCCTTTTTTTTCTAATTTCCACCCGGAGAAACACCATTTTGAATATCAAATTAATGCCAAAGATTTAAAGCAAGGATATCACCATTCTTCAAACGGGTAATTATGGTGGTGTTTGAGATCCATATTGTTTCCTAAGAGGCTTTTCTCAGAAAAATGGTGTTGCATAAGCATATCGTTTTTTTAGAAAACGTTTTCTCAGGTTTCCTACTCGTACTGTCAACACACTATTGCTAGTAGGGGTGTAAATGGATCGAATTCGAATCAGATCAAGCAATATCCGAATTCGAATCTGATTAGAAAATCCAATATCCGAATTTGATTCTATATCCAACAGATATTGAAAATTAATATCCGAATTCAAATCCAATTAAATATTTGAATATCTAATTCGATTCGAATTTGATTAATTAATTATTTTAGATAATTAATAAATATATAAAATAAATATTTTATTGATATAAAGTAGGGGTGTATTCGAGCCGAGCCTAATAGTACCAGGCTCGATCTCGGCTCGAGCTCAGTTCGAGCCAGAACCTTGAGCTCAAGCTTGGCTCGAGTCAAAAATGCATAAGCTCGAGCTCGATTTTGAGAAAAAATATTTTATAAAAATAAAAATTATATACAATTTTTTATTATATTTAAAAAATTAAGAATTACAATAATTAATAATTATAATATTTTTATTATATATATATATATATATTCAAGTTGACTTGCGAGCCTCACGAGCCGAGCTCTAGTAGGCTCGAGCTCAGCTCGTTTAATAATTGAGTCACTGAACTGGGCTTGAGCTCGATTGAAACCGAGCCGAGCCGAGCTTTTCACAAGTTAAGCTCGAGCAGCTCGTGAAAATCTTGGCTCGTTGCCACCCCTAATATAAAGTATATAAATATATAAATTATTTATATAACTTAATTATTATATATAAATTATATAAAATATTTTATATATTATATATAAGAATAAATAATCAGTTGAATTCGGACATTTATCGAGTCAAATCAGATCATATCCGAATTCAAATCCGATTAACTATTCGGTATGAATAGGATATCTGAATTCAACCCATTATATATTTGAATTATCTAAGTTTGATTTAATTATGTCAAATATCGAATTCAAAATTGGATTTTCGAATACCGTTGACACCCCTATCGCTATCAATAATAGAAAAAAAAACTGATCAGACCACACATTTCCCAATTATTCGATTTTCAAAGTATAGTATGAGAAAACGTTTTTGAAAAAAAAATGACTAACAAAACAGCATGTATTTGTTCATAAAAAGGATTTCTAATATGATACTATCTTTTGAATAAACGGCATCCATCCCAAACACCTGTTATATTGATCCCCCATGATTGTTAAACAATTAAAAGACCATCCCTATTCTCACCATTGATCCCATGTGAATAAATAAAATAAAAGACCATCTCTGATCTCACTAGACATTTACCTTATTTTATTTCAACATTCAATACAATTAATCTAATTTTTTTATTAATTACCTACTGGTGGTGCTTAGTTGGTAAGATATCTGACTCCCTTGTAGCAGAGACCTGAGAATCGATCCCCTGACGTTAAGGGCATGGTGATTGGTTAAAGTTTTATCAGGCAACATGCATTCCTTGGAGTATCAAGAAAATTGCTATAACTTTTTTTAGTTTAGCTTTTTGTCGATTACTGATTGTGCTAATTAATTATTGGCGTACTAAAGTCCAACTTCGGGTGGTTGAATTGGCACATTTTGCTTAGAAGATTCTCTCCTCATCAGCCTGGAGAATTCGAAGACGGCATGGCAATTTGCAAATGCTAGGGTGTGGGAAAAAGGTTTTCCAATGATTCGGAAATAGAACCATTCTAATCATCAGTTTTTGGATTGATATTTCGACATTTTGACAAAAAATTAAAAAAAAAACGACCAAAAATCGTTGAATTAAGATTCTAAATATTGATATGGGTTGACGTATCGGCCTGTGTTGGAGCTTTTTCTTATGTTTTATTTTTATTTTTTTTAAATTGGTTTAGAGGAACCGGTTTAAAGCCTGGTTACCCTTTGAATCAGTGGCTGACCCGATACATCCCTACAGCCACTGGTACAATACGTATCGGCCAATACATGTCAATACTTCAAACCTTGCATTGAACCAGTCAACGGATCAAATGTTTGACCACCCGAATCAACAGATCGTTAACTGGTTCAACAGTTTTTGGCTAGGAACCAAATTTGGGATAAAATAAAACCAATTGCTTGAACGACTCCCAGCCTGAACGGTCCAACCACCCAAATTAATAACAGTTCGAAAACCATGAATAAAACTATAATAAACCTCAGCCCCCACTCTTATCCCTTAGTTTTTCCTTAACATTAAGCTCCCACACCTTGGTAGGAACCCCAGTTCTAAATTTGTTGACTATAAATCGTAAAACTGGAACCCTTCTTGTCTCCTGGTAGTCTGGTACAGCCTGAGGTTTACGTCTCACCATGCGCATCGTAGCAACAGTTATCCTCGTCCTCTGGCCATTAAGATTACACTATTAATCTGACCCATGAACCATTATCATGGGAAGAACGCACGGGCTGGGCTGCGATGCACTGTGAGGATGGTATGAGGCGCGCACTGTGAGGAGCAGTCCGAACTCCACAGCGACATATTTGTCTGTCAAGTGTCAACGAGAACGAGGGTTCGTTGCCTAGTCTATTCCGATCGCCTCTGGTCTTTTTGATTGGGCACCATATCAGGCAGAACAGACTAGTGAGTGGGTTTGTCGATAGCAAGAAGCAAATATCAATTTCAACGTGTAAGCCGCCTCGCTTTCATCAACCAGTATTCCATCCTTATCCACGACGGCTAGCCATCCACTGGCCGTGGCCGGGCTTTAGTAAATAGTTTCTCGATAGATCACGGGTTGGCTTATGGCTTGGCCCGCACGGCAATTTGGCTCTACTCTTTTATTCATTCGTGCGTTCCAGACATTTACTCCACCACACCAGCTGAGAGCCTGAGAGGCTGAGACCACCACTATGGCATTGGCACCATATCGATATCATCGTGTGTCAAATGAAAAGCCACGTGGGGCTAGCTTGTACGGTATCATGGGTTTGTGTGGCTAGAGAAAAAAACTCTGTGATTGGCTGGCTCCACAACCACAACACAAAGATAAGATATGGCGCTCCACTATTACTACAGTTTTAGTGTTACACACAATTTCGTGTTTGTTTTGTTAATTTCAAGTATCGCACGTGGGACCCAGTGGTTGGACGCATCACTCATATTCCACGTAATACGTGTCTCCATTCCCTCAATTATAATATTTATATAGTCCAGATGGCAATCAATGAGAATGGCTAAGCATCCTCCCAATCGAGAAATTTTATTTTTACCAGTTCATGACTTCGTTTCGTCTGATAAGGAAGGGGTATATGAATATGGTCACAGTCACAGACTCACAGCACAGTTATTAAAGCATTTGATTGAGGATCAATAGTTCAATACTTCTGTCTCATCTTTCTGTTCTTCAGTGCCAGTCAAAGCCCGAACAGGAACAGCAGCACACCTGCATCAGCATTCAGCATTCAGCATTCCGGTTCCGGTAGTGATGGTCCGACCGGGAAAAAAAAGTTCCATCCAACCTTTATTGGTTCGAAACGTGGCAAGATTATGATCCCAATTGGTTCCTGCTGATGTGTACATCTAACGAGGATTGCCCGCATACTACGCCGACAACCACATAAGGCTTAGACCACCTTTAGTTTCGTTGCCTCCCTCCCCCTCTCTCCCTCTCTCTCTCTCTCTCTCTCTCTCTCTCTCTCTCTCCGCCAAATTCAGAGAATGTAGTAAGGAGATGGGAGAAGGACCAACCAACTCTTCCCCTAAAAGAGTCGCCACAATCCAAATTTTACTTCGCTTCTGACATTCCGGCAACTTGGGTCAGAATTGCCGCCGTGTTCTCGTCGTCTACAAGAATGGGTGTGCCGAATGATGACGTGGTGTTAATTCAGAAAGGGAAGAAGCCTGGTGAACCATGCGTTATCACCGTGAATTGTCCTGACAAGGCCGGACTCGGATGTGACCTCTGCAGAATCATCCTCGAGTTTGGGCTTTGCATTACTAGAGGAGGTCAGTTGGTTTCCATCTCCTGCTCGATTGCTGCATCTACCGTGCAGTTTTAGCTCTTTAGTTGTTCCCGTTTTTTTTTTCTTTTACTCTAGGGTTTCTATCTATTTACAAATTTTGGCGGTCTTTTGCGGATTATCTCAGTGCTTTGTTGTTTTTCCCCTATTGTTGCTTTCTGATATTTGTGGAATCGTTCCTTTTTTTCTTTTTGAGTTTCGAATTTCTGCCCTTTTTTTTGCTTCAATCTTCTTGTTTCTATTTTCTTTTCTAACGTTGAAGTTTGGATTCTTTACCAATAATGTAGGTACCGAGTGGGTTTCTGCGGTTCTTCACGATTTTTGTTTTCTTCAAAGCTTGACCGCTCTTTATATATCACAAACTCTAGTAACAGAGGCGTGTATGTGTCTAGTTTGATTTAACTTCTTCTTTTCCCTCCTGTCAACGAGTTTCATCTTATTAGGTTCTCGTCGTATTGTTTTTCCTTGGTCGGCAATTTTGTTGGGTTTGGATATTGAAGTCCTTGATATACGACTTTTTTTTTCTTTTTTAATATTCATTTATTGCTAAATTCAGTTTTCTGATTTTTATGGGAGTTGCTTGTTTCTAAGACTAACTCTTTTGTCCTGTTTCCATCCTTTCCCCTATAAAAGAAGAAAAGGAAAGGAAAGAATTGTAGCGCTTGTTGTACTCAAGTTTTGATCAATCTAGGTTTCAGAATAGATCTCTTTATACAGGAGTTTAGGTTTCTTCTGATGGGTTATTTTCTTTGCTGACAACATATGTGTATAGATGTTTCAACCGATGGAAAATGGTGCTACATATTATTATGGGTGGAGCCTCATCCTGTATCACTTACTGTTAGATGGGCAAGTTTGAAAAACCGTCTTCTATCTGTATGCCCGTCATGTTCGGTTTCATTTTACTTCAATCAACCCAGTTGCTCTTCTCCTTCCCCGGTTTACCTTTTGAAGTTCTGTTGCCTTGATCGAAAAGGATTGCTACATGGTAACTACAAATGTCTTTATCTTCACATGCTCTCTCTCAATTGTTATCCGTCTTTAGCGCTAATCAGTCATGAGCCTCTCTATAGATGTCACTCAGGTCCTGTGCGAGCTTGAGCTTACCATTCAAAGGGTAAAAGTTATGACAACCCCAGATGGCAGAGTCATGGACCTCTTCTTTATCACGGATGGAATGTGAGTTATCCCGTATGTAATCTTTTCTTATTTGATATATTTTTTCTTGGTATAATAATTTCTTTTTTCCTTGTTTTCGTGGCATGGTGTTGCCTTATAATTTCTCAGGTTTTTATATTATTAATCTTGACTTGGTTATTCATGGCTTTGGTCAAGCTTTGTATCAGTCTCAACTTTTTGCTTCTATTTTAACTGGTCTACCATGTCTTGGATTTCCACCTAATAAAAGTGGTTGATAATTTTCAGCCATTTGCAGTGAAGACTAATTATGGCATCATGAGGAGCTTTTTCATGTGAATAAAAAAGGCTGTAAAAGGATGGCCGGATGGCCTAGGTGTTTGATTTGGTCAATGATAAGGTGTTGGAAACTGTTGGATAGAATAGAACAACTAAGCTGGTAACTGCCTTGTCCAGCAATCACGAGCTCTGATAGTGCTCACACTTACTATTTATTACTTATTAAAGGGTTACATTGATCAGGGAATCACCTATTATTCTTGCTTAGTGTACTAGATTTTATATCTTCTTCTCCAATTAGCGGCTTGTCCACACTAGAGTTTTGGTTTTTTGCCCATTCAAGTCTTCATGCGCTGATTGAGAGGACGTAGAGGGCCATCCTGCACTAGGAAATATAAACTGAGAGGTCAGTTTGGAGTTTTCTGATTGTATGATGTTCTTTTCATTGCTTTAGACTCTCATCGTCAACTGATCCAAAAGAAAGCATTGACAGAATATATTGACATAAAAAAGAAAAGTAATGGCAAAGTATGTTGGGTGGAAAAGATGAGAAATTGACATGGAATCTCTTCATGGAATGATCCAATAGAAAAAGAAACATCTAATTGAATATTCTGGGGTGGCAAACAATGAGAAATCATTAAGTTGGATATACGTGTGCACACACACAAACTCTTTTATTATTTTTCACACCTTATTTGGTAGAGCGAGCCAAGTTCTCTTGTTTTCTTTTTCCTCTTCAAATTCCAACTTTTTGATTTAGACAAGGAAAGGGAGGGGGAAGGTCAAACGTGAATGGAAGAATAAATCAAGTTTTTACAGATCCTTGAACCAGTGACAATTTCATGTTTTTTGGATGATCAAGATTTTGATCAAATTGAACTTCTAAAAGTTATTTGTCAATTTGAACCAATGACAATTTCTTACTTTTCTTTTTTTTTTTTTTTGACAAGTAAAATTAGTTAAGAGAGTCTTGTTAGTGAGTTTTTTATTTTTATTTTTGATAAGTGATAAAGGTATTGTATTTATATGAAGAGGGGCTAGGAGCCCACAAACAGTTCAGGTGTATCAGTATAGCATTTACAAAACAAAACAAAAAAAAAAGGAGAAGAAAAGAAAAAAAAAAGTGGAATCCTTTCAATCAAAAAAGAACAGAGGTTTTGGAATTTTGAACAGTTGAAGATGCAATCATGTCACTTTCTTTTCTGCCTATTTTTTCAGAGGCTAAAACTTGTCCATTTTGCATGATCTTGGTATCCTTAGATAGGTTATTGAGGTCATTGATTACATATCCAACAAGAGCAAGAATTTGTAAATCCAACATGTTATGCGAGAATTATGACTTTTATTGAATAATGATAGTTTAGTCTGATGGGATTTGGGTATTTCTATTTCTTGATTTCTATTGGAACTGTTTTTTTGTTTATTTGGTTTTAGTAGGATTAGTGATGGGTATCTAGAATTGTTTTAGGAGTTGAAATTCTTATTAGGTGTGCGTAATGGGTTTACCTTGGTGTTAGCACAAGTAAAAGTTGTTTTGGGTCAGTTTCCTTGTCCAAATTGGAGTGCAAAAGGAGATCTAAGCCCTTCTTTTGAGATTATAAATAGTCATTGTAATTGAAGTACTAGATGAGAACTATTAAATAAAAGTTCAAATTTAACTTCGGTCAAGAGTGTAATAGTCCTTAATTTTCCTTGTTTACCTATTATGGACACACTAGTAGGACTTTTTTCTTATATCAATTGTTCTTTCTTTCTTTCTTCTTCTCCTAGTGGATAACCCCATAGGGAGGGGTTTGGGGAGAATTAATAGGAAAGGATTGGGAAGAGATTTTAGGAAAGTATGACATAGATAAGGGTTTTCAATGACACTTAGTCATTCCGAACTATTAATTTCCTTGTTGAAAAGTATTTTGGTCATCTTTCTTAAATAGGACAGAAAAGATATTTTTTAAGATTCAGGAGTGCACATCAGAACCAATATATATGGACTCTAGTTGGTAATTTACTCTCTGTGATTGTATCATTTCAGGGAGCTATTACACACAAAAAGGCGACAGGATGACACATGTGAACGGCTCAATGCCATTCTTGGAGAGTCCTGTGTCAGCTGTGAGCTCCAGCTGGCAGGACCTGAATATGAAATGCAGCAAGGTGTCTCTTCTATTTCATCAGAAGCTGCTGAGGAATTGTTTAATTGTGAGTTCTCAGACAAGGAAACTCGCTCTCAAGCTCTTAGTGCAGATTTGACTAAACTCAAAAAGGCTTGTGTTACAATAGACAACTCCTTGAGCCCAGCTCATACCTTGATTCAAATGCATTGTGTTGATCAAAAGGGTCTTTTATATGACATTATGAGAACAATGAAGGATTGCAATATTCAGGTACTTGTAGTGTATTCTACTCCCATTCATCTAATTCGTTTAAGGTTTAATGTGTAGGATGAGCAAAGCTAGGACACGGGTGCTTCATAAACCAAACATATTAGAACATTAGCCTAGGTGGTCCCCCACTTTTACACCAAACTGGGGGAAAATCTTGTATCTTGAGCATTGCTGAGGTTAGTTTAGATGTCAGATGCTGCAGATGGTTGGGGACACTGTTGGTTTGATTTGACACAACCAGACCATTCATTCTCTTTCTTTCTCCTCTGAACATCATTGATGTGCCTGTCATCGAGTAGCATGGATCCTAGTTGTCTATTTATGGCAGTAACCATGAAGTTGTGTATATTATATGAACTTTAAGTTTCTAAAAATATACCAATATTAAGCAGATCTTAGAGCAACCTCACAGCAATTCTCATGTTACACATGCTGATGTTGGATAAAATCAACATGGGTCCTATCTAGGAGCTCTCCAACTGAACCACTCAGATGATTTCTCTTTGGAAATTTCTGGGCTTTCTTTTTGACTGTTAATCTTATGAGTTATGTATTTTGTCCAACTTTCTTAATATAAGGTAGGTTAAATGGCTAGGATAATGTATTCAGTTTGATTTAGGTCTTATCTGATTTTGCTGTCCAACTGGCAACTGCAATTTGCCAGTGGGACTAGCTCCTCATGGTACCTCCCGCAGTAGTTCATAGTACATAATCATGCACCTATGTATCTTAATATATGCTACAATTGGTTTTTGGCTCTGTTTAGTAAAATTGGTACTTTGGCTATTCTTAGATATGAATTCTTTTGTTGCTTGTCATCTAGATAGCTTATGGTCGATACACATCGAGTACCAAAGGTTACCGGGATGTAGACCTTTTTGTTCAGCAAATGGATGGCAAAAAGATGGTGGATCCTGAAAAGCAAAGTGCATTGTGTTCCCGTTTAAAGGTGGAGATGCTTCACCCATTGCGGGTGAGTATTGCTAACCGGGGACCAGACACTGAACTCTTGGTTGCTAATCCTGTAGAATTGTCTGGAAAGGGAAGGCCACGAGTTTTCTATGATGTTACTCTTGCTCTAAAGATGCTAGGGATCTGCATCTTCTCGGTAAAACATGATACTAGGAAGTTGTCATAATGCTTTTTAGCTTGTTTTTTCACGTCTGGGGATTATAGAAACTCTCTTTTCTGTGTTGTAGGCTGAAATTGGAAGGTATTATACATCTGATCGCCAATGGGAAGTATACAGATTTCTTTTGGAAGAAAGCCACGAGTATCCATTGGCAAACAATCAAACCAGAACTCAGATTGTAGACAGAGTGAGAAGAACTTTGATGGGCTGGTAAGCTGATTTAGTTCTGGTATCTAGATCGTGAGAGCCACCAGCACATTTGATGTCTCCTTCAGGGTATCTCTCTATGAAGATCTAAAATCCATGTGTATCCTGCTTTTATCTCTTATAACATCTAAAGGCATATCGTGTGCATTCTCAAATCATCTTTTTACAGTTGAACTGTTCTCGTATATTTTTTATTCTCCTTGGTACCCAGTCAAGCCAGAACTGCCCCTTTGAGTCATTTTATTCTTGTATAGCATTGGCAGCACCTTACCACCTTCACAGAATTCTCTCAAGGGGCAACTTAACATCCATGTCCATCCCTTTTGAAGCCCGGAGGATGGGTTGTGTTGTCATTTTTTTCTCAGGCTCAAGTTTGGGAAGAGTACAAATACAAATATGTGCAATGCAAAACCTTGTATACAATATTTATAAACCTTGTAATTGCTCTGTACATTTTGTATTTTGCATCCTTCCCAAACTGAGCATAGAGCGTGTCTTGGGGTCTGTATTCATATGGGGCTTTCGTAAATTGCCACCTACCCCATGTTTCTGCCTCGTGCCCATGGTGACTGGAGTCCGGATCTGCTGTGTCAACTATGCTGTGGATAGGTCTGTGTCCCCAATCAGATATGGACACCTATCCTTTCAATGTGCTTGGCTTGCTCCTGTGTGAGCACATGTTAATCCCATTTAATTTATGGTTTCATTTTTTAATACTAACGTAAAACTTTCTATTTTGTATATGTCCAAACGGGGTCTCAATTTCGATCCAAAACTGGAGAACATTGTCCTTTCGAGCAACAAATAATGACCTTGTTAGTTATTCCTTGGAGTCGATTTAAGCTATTCTGGCCCAAGCAGAAAAATAGTCTTCTTACAAGCCACGTATTAGGAACGTTGAAGAAATGATCCAATTATTCTACATTGGAACTGAAAAATACGAATTACTTAAATAAGACCTCTTCTATTGCCTCAACAAGAAACTGTACGCCCGAGAGTAGTGCTCTTGGTGACCAGAGGAAACATTTAAAAATAGAAAATTAAGACAAAGTAATCATCGAGTTTTGCTTCTTTCCTTTCGAATAAGGATTAAAGTATTGGATATTATATTGGACAATTTGAATATGAAAGCGAATGAAAAAATATAGATAAGAAAATGTAGGAAAATTTTATAATTATATTAATGGCATTAAGTTTAATGTTAAAATAACTATAAGTAATATATAAAAACATAGGAATTGTATATTTAAATGATATATATGTATATATATATATATATATATACATGTAGATATTATACAATTTTATTAATAATGTATTAATCAAGAGTTTAAGGCAAATATTATATAGATTTTTATAAATTAATATATGCAAAAAGTCAATATTATTTTATTATCTATTAAAGTGTAAGGCATAAAGTATATGCAATTATTATATTTGAATTATTATATCACTTTTTTGTTTTACGATTTTTATTTTTTAATATTAATAAAAAATTAAACTAAAAAATTAATTCTTAAATGTTTGATAAATAATAATAATATTTTTGTAAACAATAAATATGTTATTATAAAATATCAATTAATAATTTATAAAAATATATAATCTTAGTTTAAAATATATCAAATCTATAAAATTTTGAAAATGCATATCATATTAAATTTCATAAATTTTAATTACTAAAATATTTTTTCCATTATTAATGTTTAATTTTAATAAAACTTTGAAGTTAAAAATTATTTTTTATATAAAATGTAGATTAATGGATTTGATAGATTCAATTTATATTATATTTTCAAATACTTTGTCAACAATACTTTTTTTTGTAAATAATAAATACATTGTTATTTAATGCAAATTAAAATATTAATTAATAATTTATAAAAACTTAAGGTATATGCCATATGCAAATTTATAAAATTTAAGTATTAAAATAATTATTCTATTATGAATGTTTTATTTGTATAAATGTATTCCATTGATTTATAAAATATTAATTTTGAATATTGTTCTTTTTAATTTATAGTTGAAGTTTTTGAAAATAAATGTATATTGTTTTTTGTTTGTATATAAACATTAAGTTTAATAAAACTTATCTTATTACACTTATTAACATAAAATAACAAATGGCTTTATGGTGTGTATCGAACCGATACTATGCAATACGCACCGATACGGTGGCGTATCGGACCGCAAGGTTCAAAATATAGATACGCCCAGGTGAATTGATATAGCATTTTGTGCTTTTTTTTTGCAGTCGATTCAGGGGGGCCAGTTTAGGGCTCCTCCACCCCCTAAATCGGTCAGATCCTCGATACGCCCATTGTAGGGGCATATCGGAGGGGTCTCGGAATGATACGTATCGGCCAATACGTGTCGATACTTTGAACCTTGTTGGACTAGTAGGCACAAATGACAAGATTCACCTACATTCCTAGCATATCTCATATTAATGCAGTCCGATATTGATCGGGGCATATCGTATCGATATTTTAATCCTTATTCTCAAATAGATGACAACACAATGCCATTGTATCAAACGCCTCATTAAAGAGATTAAAGCCTCTCCGCAAGACAAGGGACTTCTAGGTAATATGGCCCACATATGTTGAACCATGATACTTGAGCAAAGTCACTAATCGAATTTGTCACTTGTGGTGTGTGTGTGAGAGAGAGAGAGAGAAAGAGAGAGAGAGAGAGAGAGATGGGCTCACTTTGTTTAATGTCTTATTTTATGTCCAATTAGGGTTAGAGAGAAGGAGAGAAGAAGGAAAGAGACAAGAATAGGGGCATAAATTAGCATATTAGATTATTAGAAAGGATAAATTACAATGACCCTTTGTACTATGGGGACAGTGACAATTATCCCTGAATTTTTACTTTGTGACAACTATGCCCTTAGCCGTTAATTGATATAATGCAATAAATTACTAAAATATCCACTTGAATTTTCTTTATTTTCTTTTTCTTATTCAATTTCTCTTAAACTCTAATTGACCAAAAAATGCATTCATTTTCTCCAAACGAAACCAACTAAAATAACAATAATTATTTCACCAACATAGAACAACAAGTTTATTTAACTTCATCATAATTCAAAAATCTAGCATAAACAATCCACTTGAACTTCAAATGAATATATCTCTTCATCTTAAAATATAGAAATTATCCACTCCTTTCTCCAATAAACTAAGAAAAACCAAGCAAAGCGTTCAATTTCTATCTATTGAAAAAAAAAAAAAACTCTACTAATTCATATGGATATTAAATCAAGCCAGAAATCTACAATGTTCTATTTGAGCAACTGAGAAGACTTCAAAGGGATCTTTGTCACAAATGAAAAATAAGGGGTAATAATTACTGACCCCATAGTTCAAGGAGATCTAAAATAAAATGCTAATTAAATAAGACTAAGGCTATGTTTGGTTTAAAGGAAAATGTAGGGAAAGGAAAGGCAAGGTAGAGAAACCTTTACAAACCTTGTATTGGTTTTCCTGTCTTTCCCTTCCTTTCCCTACCTTTTCCTTCAAACCAAACATAACCTAAGGGTATTTATTAGTTGTGCTTGAATAGGAGAAAGTCAAATATGCATGAGTGAACAGGTGTTCAGATGTGATTGGGGACGCATCCCGTTCACAGCATAATGAACATAACATATGCTGACTATGTTGGCAGACTTGCAAAATATGAAAGAAAGGTTCAAATTGCATTGCAAGTTCTTCTGTGTTGGTTGCATTTTAGGCTCATTTTGAAAGGAGTACAAATGCAAATATTTAAAGTGCAAAACCTTATATTTTGTATGTATTATTTTGTGAGAAAAGAAAGGGTGAATTGGCTCAAGGATATAACTTCACTGTTGACAATTAAAATATTGGGAGGTCGACATAAATGTTTTGAAAATCATCCCGAATTGAAACTGTTTTAATCACCCATTTGTGCGACAGTCAGCAGTTTGACCATTCCGAATGGACTCGTCACCGACACATTCCAACCCCATGAGATATAAGGTGTGACGTGTGAGATCATGCTAGTAGAGGGTTGAATGTGTTATGTTGGCAGAAAATCCCATCTCCTCATCACCCGTTTTTAGATCAATATCAGAATTTTATCTATGGTACCAATTATTTTTTCCAATGTTTTAAAAAATGACCCAGAATCGGAACTATTCTAGCCACCGGTTTTTGGGTCAACGATTCAAATTGATGATCCATTTTGACCAAAATAAAATAAAATAAAAAATGGCCAAACTGTTGAACGGGTCAACAGTTTGCCCATCTAGGTCAACGGATCATTGATCGATTCAACGGTTTTTAGCTAGAGATCGGATTTGGGGTAAAATGGAACCAGTTGCCTAAACAGCTCCCAAGTCAAGCAGTCCAACCATCCGGGTCAATGGTGGTTCAAAAACCATGTGTTTTTTCTGTGTGTTGGAGTTTATAAGTTTTGATGTTTTTTGGTACAGTGGTTGTTTTTCTTTCAGGGTGTTTCTTATTTGGTGTTATTCTCTCATATTCTAGTTTTTATCTTTTGTTCTTCTGGTTGGAATGAAACTTACAAATTTTCTACCCAATAAAAAAGTTGTCTGGCAATACAAAACTATGATCAATGAGAACCCACGATTGTTGGTTGTTATATCACCATTCTACCGATAGTACCAAGTTACCAACTGAGCTCAGGATTGCAGTTGGATATTTAGTCAAGTTTTATAGTTTATAATTATATATTAATTATAAATACAACTTGTGGATAGATGTAGCACTCAATTACCACACGGGAGAATAAGAGAACAAAAAACCGTTCCTTCTTTGCAAGTCACGAAATCGTTCCCCCTCTACAAGTTGCGAAACCATTCCCTCTCTCTCTCTCTCTCTCTCTTTGTTTGGAGAGAGCTTCTCTCTCAAGTTTCTCTGAGGTTTTATCAATCTCTCTATTGGGGTGGCTCCCTTTGGGGAGTCCCCCATTCCATTATGGTTTCTTTTCTTTTCTTGTTGTTTTTTTTTCTTTTTTTCTCCTTCTGTTGTTTCTTTTCTTCCTTCCCCCCTTGCTTTCATTCTTTGCTCCTCCTTCCATTTGGTTCTCTCCATTCTTCCCACTATTCTTCCTCCCATCTATTTCCCTTACCTTTCCCATTTGGTTTTCTCCACTATTTGCCTCTTTTTGTGCTTTTTTTTTTCTTCTTTCTGTAGGCATTTTGACAAGGGGTTACTTTCTCTTGGATCCTGTATTGGGCATTCGGTACCGGTGGATGTTGCTTTATGTTTTTCCGTCCATGGTTAATTTCGTT